CAGTTTTTTGATCCTGTGTTCCTGCTTGTTACCAGAATAATTCGCTAGATTTCTTCAACCTGAAAAGACCCTGACTTCTCTTCCCTGCTCTACTCCAGGTTTCACTCCACACTCCACCATCTCAACACCAGCTCGGATCCCTGCACTTCATGTCACGCTGTCTCCTCCCCTGGCCGCCCGCTCTCAGCCGCTCACCTGCACTCACCAAGCCTCTACTCCTACCTCCTCTCCGATCCAAGAGCTCCTCCTCCTTCTGGACCCCTCCTGCTCACCCGGACCTGACCAATCCCTCCGGAAGTTCTCACCACTACTACAATCAGTAAGCTCCACTCCCAATATCATTCTCCGTCATTCCCTCCATATATTCACTCTGTCTCCCTCCTCAGAGTTCCATCCTGAAATCTTGCTGCCAGCCTGCCCGTCGTCTGTTCCCGTCATTGCTCTTCAGTCTATAATAAAGTCGTTTTACTTACTTACCGGTTCCTGTGTGGTGATTCTGCATGTCGTGGGTCAAAAGACTGCCCCCTGCCATGACAAAAACAGCTTTTGGATCCTAGCAGCGTGGTGGCGAATTCTTGGGAGTGCCATCGAGTTCCGCCCAGATAAAGCAGTGAAGGTTGTAAAGGTGTGTGTGGTTCTCCACAACTACCTGGCATACTGTGATAATGCAAACACACCAGGGAGCCGATACATCCCACCCACTTTCACTGACAGCGACTCGGCAGGAGTGGTGCAACCTGGACATTGGCGGAGAATGGTGGACGGTGACTCCAATCTGCTACTGGTCAACACAAGGATGATGTGCAAGAGCCGCTCAAACAGGAATGCCGTTTGTGTGAGGAATGAACTGACGCAATTCTTTTTGTCACCAGCAGGAGCTATGTCCTGGCAGGAGTTAGACTGTGTCACGTAGCACACTCACAGACTAGATTTTGTCCATCCTAATCATAGCGCCCGGTGGTAGTGTTCTGTTTTTGTTTCTGTTTACCAGGTCTATTTTCTAGTGCCCTGTTCACAGATGTTTAAATGATTATACAGCTCATATTTTGTTATGCAAGTACTACTCCTAATAAGAATAAACTCAGTTGTAGTGGAATTAACTACAAATTGAAGCTGACTGAATACAACCTTTAAAAGTTCTCAACTAAAAACCTGAAATTATCTTGGGGCATGATTTTTTTTCTCCAAAGAATCTGTGTTTATCAGCTTTTTGGAACCTAGTCAATGAGTGCAAAACAATAGTGTGTGCAAACTGATGCCAAATAACTGAAAATGAAAAAATAAACTGTAAATGGAAGAAAACAGACTTCGCTTTAAATAGAAAAGAAATGAAATGCACATGAAACACTTCTACTAGGAATAAAAATTAAAACATGCAAACAAAAAAACTTTAAACACAAACACATTTCAATCCTCCAGAAGGTCGCACACACATGATACAAGGTTGCGCCTGGCCTATGTTCAGGGACCCTCCTCAGTAGGTCCACTAGAGTCTGCCCAAATCTGTCACAATCATCATCCTTCTCCAGTCTCTCACTGAGCTCTTTCCTATGTCTGTCAATTCGGGCCATCTGTTCAGAAAAGCAGTCATTCAAATGCTGCTGGCACCGCCTCTTTTTGAGAGCAGGTTGTGGTGTGCTGGTGGACTCTAGCAACTCATAGGCTGTTTGATGATCCGTTGAAGTGGATTCTCGGTCAAGGGAGGCATGGAGAGATGGAGATGATTCTGCTGAAGATGATGATGAATGTGATGAAACAGGATCCAGTAAGGATTCATCCTGCTGCTGTTGAGAGGCAGGCAGTGAAGACCCCTGAAGTTGTGATGATGCAGATGGGGCCTCATCCTGTGAGGATCCACATAAGGCCTGGTCCTGAGGTGGTTCAGTTGAGGCCTGTTGTTCAACAACCACAGGCATATAGTTATCTCTTTATTACTTACATACACTGGTAAAAACAGAATGCAAATACTGTATACTTATTAATCTGTTTAGGTAATCACAATAGTATAGAAAGATGAATTTGGATGACTTTGATGAAAGCTTTTAACTAGAACTGCAGCTTGTTAGCACCATGCGTATCTGGAAGCACAGACAAACAGGAAGTACAAGCACAGCATGCTAGTTACCTTGAAATTTGAAGATGTGGGTCTATGCTTTATGTGCGGCTCCAACCACGAAAGCAAAACATAAAAAGCCGGAACCTTTTTGCCACCTGGATCGCCACTGCTGCCCCTCAAGGTGTTTTTCATTCGGACAAGTCTGTCCCACATGCTCCTCCACTTCTTCATGCATTGCTCCACACCCACCTCCAAAATGCAGGCAATTTCCTTCCAGGATTTGCAAATGACCTGGGCATCTTTATAGTTCTTCAAAGACGGATTATATAAATGTTCGTGTTTCCATGCTTTCTCCGCTAGACGTTCCTCGAACTGGTCCATATCTACTTCTTTACCACACACGACTCCGGCACTGTTGACAAATATAAAGGAAATGGCGTCATGACGGAAGTGATCTCAGGTTTCTGGACCAACCAATCACAAGCTTGCGTAATCCGTCTCGTTCGACGGATGTTTAAAAAAGTGGGCTCGACTCCGTACGTACTTGCGTGCCTGCCGGGGCCCTATGCAAGGATGAATAATGGTGTTGCGTGTCTCCGCACTGACGCAGACGGAGAAGCATGAATCAGGCTTAAGAGTCCTTCTAGACGCAAACGATTCTATCCATCTTTTGTGACCCGGAAACATTTCTGGACTGGAGAGTCGGTGCCACTGTTATTCTACAAACCTCGGTGCCCGAGGCCATCCTACCTTCATGACCTCTGGATCAGTGAAGAGGGTCTTCCAAGCAGGGTGAGGTAGACACAACATGTATCGTGTCTGATGTGGGTTTGATAAGAATCAACTTCCTAGTTAATGCAAGCCAAATTATTTCCATTTTCCACCCAGAACTCAGTTCGTCTAGATACGAAGGTTCTGATAACCTCACATTCACATAGTCACCATACATCACAATCCACCCTCCTAGATCCATCCATCACAGTAAATATTAGTTAACTTGTCGTGTTTTTAATTGTTTGGAAAAGAAATTCTTACTTTTTATAAACCTGACTCTCTTCTTGAATCAACACGAAGTGTTCTACAATCCCTGAATAAACAAAGAATTCTAAATCTTCTGGTTAACCATTAAAGACCAGACTGGATTTCCATATTTATTTGAAATTCACATCACATTGGTCAACGTGTAAAGTAGTATATTAAGCTTTAAAAGCACCCAAATACATACAATAATACTCTCTCTACATATTACATCAAGATTGTCAGCCTATGTTCCCAAACAGCTTTTTTCTGATAAGACTGCAGGATTCGTCCTCTGAATAAAAGTGAACACTCACGGCTCATATGCTTAAATAATCATAATCATCAGATGGTTGAATGAACTAAATGTTATATGAGTAATAATATTAATGTTTGGATAATCTGTGCCCAATTCAATGAAGTTGAAATTAATATTATTATTATGATGATGAAACATTTGTATGTTATGATCAGTAATGTTTGATTTGACAAGTGAATCACTATCTACACTTATACACAATGTCCATAAGATATAAATTACAGTTAACGTCACATATCACATAGGTTTAAAGATTCTTTATCCACAGAACAAGAACATTTTATATCTGGGAGGTGTGGTTTCTGAGGGATGTTTGGTAAACGTCGTCAAACATGTCAACTTCTGATTCGCCAGAGCCATAACATGGTGGATCAATAAAACTAGGATGACTTTCCAAGTTGAGTTGAGTTTTTGAGCAGAACTCCAAAGTGGCCAATCCAGAGGAAACTTTTTTGAAACATCTCTATAGCCCTTTTCAGATTGACATTCCAGAATATGTGTAGACAATTCAGTCCGGTTTTTAACCAGAACTGTGTTTTCAGACACACCACTTTTGTACCGGAACTTGTCCTTTTGGTTGCCTTCACACAGCAGGGAAATGTTCCAGATGTCCGGGGGTGGGGGATCGGACTTGGCATGGTTCGCCGCATGCTACAGGAGCGAGCTATCTAGGAGCGCACAGCGTCCCCCGGTCCCCTCCTCCTCCCCCTCCTCCCTGTCCGGAACTCAACCTCACCAGTCTGAAGCAGCCACCTTGTCCGTAACAAGTCCGGACCTGTTACTAGGGGCATCGGCCGGTTTAATTACGGAAAAGGTTATCTGGATGTTTGTATTCGGACACAAAGGTTTTACGGACAGAGTCCTGAACATTTCGGTTTTTCATGGCCTGTCTGAAGGAGGCTTAAGACACATTGTCAAAACCTGTTTACACGCTGCAAAGCTGACACAGCAAGACTCCTTAAGAGTCCATTCTTAGATGCAACAACCTTCATGCCTGTTGTGATCCAGGAGATGACTCTGGACTGACCTGGTCGCATTGCAGTTAATCTACGTACTCCAATGGCTTGGGGTGATATGAATGATAATTCTTCTAATGTTTCATTTGAGATGTGTCCTCATCTCACATTGTGCGTGTCTCTCTCTCTCTGCTAGCCTAGCCTAGCGACTCATCACACTCAAATTTATAATCAACACAAGTCCGATCCAACCTGTCAGGATGTCATAAAAATCCTCTTAAATATACACAGCAGTGAAACGTGAGGGATTTTCATGTCCGTATTTTATCACAAGCTAAAATATTTGAGAACCATTGTTGTAAGTTATTTCTCTGAACAGAGGCTCTTCAGACAGCTACAGGCCCCAAAATACATGCATGCAAATTAATATCCTAATCTAAAGTTTAATGTGGATCAGTCAGACGGAATAAGTAAACATTCAATAAGAAATCTGATCAGATAATTCTGCTAATGAACAACGTTGCTTTCTGAGAGTAATCTTGATTTATTTCCCCATGACGCCTGCTGCCACGGGCGGGAACGTTGGGTAATGTTTTGATGTCCCCACAGAGCCGGTACAAGTCCCCCCCCCCCCCCCCCCCCCCCCCATAAAGAAACCAGCGCAGGGAGCCAGTAGTGAGACACCAAGGTTAGTGATTAACCTTCACTCTCTCTGTGCTGCTGTGTTCTCCTCCTCACCGAGGCATGCTGCCGACGTTCAGCCGCCACATCCTACCATCATGGGCGAGTGCAACCACGGGACACCCGAACGAGCTTTAACCGGAGTGGACAAGGTGACAGTGGTGTTTCACAAAGTTGTCAGCCATGACAAACACACACAAGAATTAGGAGAAGACGACGAGCCGTCAGAGGAGACTGTACATCTGCGGAGTAACTGTCTAAACCACGAGGATGCTGAGAACCGACAGGACGAGGAGAGAAGCAGCGAAGGTTCACTGGAAGGCAGCGAGCAGGAAACGCTGTGTCCGGCATTCTGCGTCAGAGGCGAGTGGCTGACGTCTTCCCGAGAACGGGGCGCACGAGGAGGTAATATGGCCAGCGCACGCGCTCCGGTGAACTATTAATGCCGTTAACTTCAGAAAGCCACGCTTGTGATGGAAAGATGCAGAAGGGAAGCCTTTAAGTTACAAATCCATGGCTTCCTACGTGGTGTCACATTGTGTACCGCCATCATACGTCACATTGATATTGTGTCACGTGGGAGTTATAAACCAATAAGCTGTAAGATATTGCACAGGATTTACTTCATTTCTGCACAGTCATTGTATTTTGAACGGTTCACTTTAGAACTGTATAGCCTGGTTTAAAAGTGGTGACTGGCTGATGTAAGCTAGCTTAAAATTTCCCATCATTCACTCAGAAGCTGACAGCACATTTTTACAGCATCAAGACTTTTATTCCCTAAAATGTCAACCAACTATTTACCATCTATAAAATACGCGTGGCTTTACAGAGAGGATGTTTTAGCTAAAATAAGTATTCTCAGTTCCTCTGTTCATTTGTGTTTCAGTTAGAAAGTTTGTAAGTAATATTTTTCCAGATTATTTATTTGTATTTTTTTTGTAAATTTAATAATACCTGTTGTAGAAAACTTCCCAAACAGCCTTGGTTCAGAGAAATGGCATCGCCACTGCACAGGAATGACAAAGTGTAACATTTAAAATTAGTACTAAAACAGCTTAAATTTACAGGTAATGCAACCTTATTGCCAAACCTTTGCGCCATCATTATATGCTAGTTATACCAGATCATGTAATTGTGAAGTGTAAATGTAGTACTTCCAGGGCAGCTAGGGGTCAAGGCCACCAAGACATGTTTGATATTTCTGCCAAAAAGCAATTAAATTCCTTTTTTGTCTTGGAACTTAATTTGTTGTGTAGAAAAATTGCTAAGAGAACCAGGGACGCTTCCAGAAAATTTTGATAGAGGTGGCCAGACGGGACCAAAGAAATTTTTGGTTGTGGCTCACCAAATTGGTCCTTGTGGTAACTCTGGGAGAGTTTAGCCTGTGGCAATGTATTTCATTGCTCCATTATTCATTTTTATTTTAAAAAACAGTACGTATCCAAAACATTTAACTTGAATTTTACAAACACAAACATTTCAGAAAAATACATTTCAGTTATTTCAAATGTTATTTCAAATTGTATTTTAAAATGTATTGTTTAGTGTTAATCACCTGTTGCTGTGTTCACAAAAACTATGGAGATAAAAACGTTTTTAAAATGGTGAGCAGCGGAAACATATGTAGTTTTAAAAATTCTGATTATTTTCTTTACTCAATAATTGTATTTTTATTTTGTTTTACAATTGTGTCTTGAATAAATAAGATAAATTTATGGTTTGAGTGAACATTAGTATGATGTGTTAACTCTAGCTTTTTGGGGCACCAGTGAAGAGAACAAAGCAATCATTGCCTGAAATCAGGTGGGACGTGTCAACGTTTCTAGTCACTTTGGTTCTCACAGACATCACAGTTTTACTGATCTTTGAGCAGGGATACAAAAAAATACTAAACATGTTGTATGTAGCTTATATAGCTGTCTCATCTTGAATTTAAATATTGGTTTCTTAAAGATCAGCTGAGGGAGAGGTTCGGATTAAAACATGGAGAAGGATTTATCTCTGTGTGAAAGGTACAAAAGCAAACACCACACAAAGGAAGAGTGAGTGCCAAAGAATTTGACCTCAGGATGAAAGTTTATCCCCAAAACATATCAGCTTTGTTGCTCCAAGGCAGGAGATGTACTCTTCACCATCAAATTTTGTGGATCTTTGTTGTTTTTTTTTTTTTTTTTTTTTTTTTTTTTTTTGTTTTTGCTTCTAAAACCTTTCTTTTTCCATTCAGGCTACATGAGAAAATGTTTTTGAAAAATGCACTCTTTGAACTTTGCAAATTTTTTTCTTTTTTAATGTTTGACTTTCTCCTTTTCTCTGATCTTCCCCTGACCAGACAAACCAAAGAGATGCCCAGGTCTGGGTTTGTTCTATGCCATCCTGGCCACTGTTTTCTTCTCCATCATTCATTTTTTGGTGAAAACCATCCAGGACATCCACGCCATTGAGATCAGTGCAATACGCTGCTTCTTCCAGATGCTCTTTGTTGTGCCGTTACTCATCCACCACAAGTAAGCAAGACTTTGAGAGGAACATATTTGCTCTGTTACCAACCTGAGTCCATTTAAAACGGTGGATTCCTGCTTTTATGGTTGTGACTTTTCACCCAGTTTGAAGACAAATATTCAGCCTTTCCTACTTAAACAAGAGTTTAGATGAGAATGTCGATCATTTTTAAGAGCATTTATGTGTTAAAAAAATCTGGTCTGGTGATCTAGACGTTGTGGGAATGATGTTCATATGATCCTTTCTTTTTTCTTGGTATATTGCAAGATCTATTTTGAGTACTTAAATAAATACATTTGTGGATTTGACTAAATAAAAGGAATTAAACTGGAAGCTTAAACCCTGCCAGCAGCACTCCTTCTCATTCATCTACCTGCTCATCAGTTCATCTTTTCATCCATCTACACAGGTTTTTATCCTAATTCATCAACTCCAAATCTGCATTTGTTTTCCTTTTTCCAGCCTCCTTCATGCATCACTGTCATTCCCTCTTTACCTAAACCCATTCATCCTCTTTGTCACCGCTCATCCTCCTCAAATCTTCTCCATCCATTCTTTCCTAATGTTTACTTTTTTCATTTCTTGCTACATTGGTCGGTCTAATCACTCATTCTCTCAGTCATTCATTCATCCATCATCCTCGTATATCTGCTCTCCCAGAACCGGTTTCCTCGGTCCCAGAGATAAACGTATTTATCTGGTGCTTCGAGGGTTTTTCGGCTCCAACGCCATGATCCTGCTGTACTACGCAGTTCAGCAGATGTCACTGGCAGATGCCACCGTCATCATGTTCAGGTGAGTGACAGCAGGCCAATCCGGACTGTTCTGGATTAGTTGAGATTATTTGAAGATTACGTATACATTTTCTTTTTCCTTGAATTGTAACTCTGTCCATCTGCTGTAGTCTTTGTCGGTTATTCCAACATACCTTGTAGAGTCTGTTGTTAAAGAGCTTCATCAGAGATAAATGTCTTTCTCTGCAACAAAACCCCCTCACTAAGCTGTTCTCCACTTTTGTCATTGATCCCATAGCAATCCGGTCTTTACCTCCCTGCTGGCTTGGATCTTCCTGAAGGAGAAATGTACAATCTGGGACTGTGTTTTCACTGTCTTCACCATCACCGGCGTCATCCTCATCGCCCGCCCGCCGTTCCTCTTCGGGGAGCATCCCGCTGGCATCGAGGGCAACTACGCCAATCACGTCAAGGGGGCCATTGCCGCCTTTGCAGGTGATGCCATTGAGTGTTTGAAAGAGAGGGGATGATTGTGGGATTTTTACTCACACTTCTGTATCGCCATGACAACCCCAGCTCATTGGAATCATCTGGGGGGTCCATCATTGTTTTTGTCTTTACATCAAATATGCCTTATAGGATTTGTGTAGACACACTGCTGTTTGATTGCAAAACAAGAAAGTTTGGGCTTGGATTTGTGTTTGAGTTTTGGGACTTGATGTCGTTTTGACAAATAATGTAGTTGAATCATCTAGTATACCTTCTGATACCATCTCAGGAAGCCATAAAAGAATCAATTTAGGGTTTTCTTTAGTCTCCTTTTCCATTCTTTTTCAGCATCAAACGGTGTTTGTGCGTCGCATCCTCCCAAAGAAAGTACCAGCTGAATTAGTATCCTTGAGTTTCAAGGTTTAGTACAGAGGACTGATTGATTACACATTTATCGTTTTTCTTAAAGGAGCGGTCGCAGCATCTTTTACATTTGTCATCCTTCGTAAGATGGGGAAGAGCGTCCACTACTACCTCTCCGTGTGGTACTACGCAGTCGTCGGCTTCATCGAATCCGTCATCACCGTATCCATCCTTGGCGAGTGGAAGATCCCAAACTGCGGTCGTGATCGCTGGATAATGATGCTGATCGCCATTCTAGGCATCGTTGGCCAGACCTTCCTCACCAAGGCGCTGCAGATAGAGAAAGCCGGACCTGTAGCCCTGGTGAGGACAGTGGATGTGGTGCTGGCCTTCTTCTTCCAGTTCATCTTCTTTAATCAGGCACTGACATGGTGGAGCCTCGGAGGGGCGCTGTGTGTAGTGGTGAGCACCAGTGGAGTAGCAGTTAGGAAATGGTATACCAACTCTCGAAAACCTTGAAAGAAGAATGCAACAGTTTTCTTAACATACATTTGTGTTTTCTTTTGCATTTTAATCATTAGGTGCAATGTAGTGAGAAGGTTGAGCCTCATAGAAGAGTTGAAAACTGAATTATATACATCACATTTATGATGAGCTTTAATGTACTTTTATTTTGAAATACAGTGACTTCTATAAAATGATATTCTTAGGAAGTCAGGCAATGTCATTTAGTATATGCACTTTTTTGTTTAGAATTAACTGAAAAATGCTCTCCCTAAAAACATAAAGGGTCTACATTGAATCTGAATTGAACTTCGATGAAGTACCAAGGAGAAACCGGTACTAAACCTTTGCACTAGTGGATTAGCCCAGTTAAGCACTGACTGATGTCCTGGAAAAAAGGACATTTGTTGCAATAACATAGCAGTTGCATCAGTCATAGCAAGTAATTTAACAGCTGCTAATCAAATCCCAATGCTGGCTCATTCTGTATAAATCTCAGGGATTATTAATCCATTGATATTGCACAAGTTAAAGCTACCCCTAAGTGACTCAAAGGCTGTTTTGAAATATTCATTAACTACATCAAACTTACTATATAGTGCACTACATCAGAGATATTTTTAGTTTTTAAATTTTAGGACTACTGAAATGCAGCAATTGAAATGGTGAAATTTGACATAAATGCATTATTTTGCAGATTTTGAGGAATAAATGTCATCTGTGTGTCAAACTGGCCTAAAACATTATTACACATATCTAGGTTTACATATTGCTCCATTTATCTAATCACACAGGACTTCATTTATACCTAAATCGCTATCTTCAATATGCTAGAATCATACTTGCCACTAAGATAAATGATTTTAGAATCTTAGTTGGTGTTCAGGTGATTTAACACAAACACACTGAATTAAAACAGTTAAACTGCAACTTTACATCTTCACCAGTTTCCAGAATATTCCATTTACATTTTGTACTTTGGAACAAGAGTCAGCAATCTCGGGACCTGCACTAAATCTTGCTGGGTATTTTTGTATCAAATAACTAATGATAAACATTTTATGGAAACAAGCAATTGAAAATATTGCAGCAAGGTGAGAACTACTTGAATCAATGCCCGGAGAAATAAATGAAATGTTGTGTTTTAGTTTTTTTATTTAAATTTTTTTTTATCAGAAAAGTGTCCCATTTATTTACATGGAAGGGGCGGGACTTAAAACATATACCCAGCCAGTAGGGGGCCTTATATTTGTTCTGCGTAGTGTTATTTTATCATAATTCAGTGCTACTAAACACTAGCCTTATTATTCCCTGTGATTTCAGATTGCAGTGCATTATGGTCTATTTTGGCATGTGCAAATTGAATACATTACTTACATTGAACATCTGGATTAGTCCTTAGCTAGGACTCTAAAATAATGGGTGAAAATATAAAGTTAAATTTTCAACCCAAAAAGGGGCTTCCTCACCAGATAGGAACTCAGCCACAGTTTGTTTTACTTTTGAAACTCTGGTTGCTATTTTTTCCCAATATTTTAAAACATCTGTATAGTGCCTTAAAGGTTAGGTTTTACTCTTCAGCTTTCAACCAGCAATGTTTCCAATGCAGCCTCTATGTGATTGTTCTTCTAAACATGTATAGAAACTTATTTACCTTTAAAGCCCTTTTGATCAACAAGTCATATTTTATGATGGTTGTACCTAAAAGGTAATTATTTACACATAGGTGAAGGAATGACATTTTTTAGTTCTAAACTGTTTGTTTTTCTGGTAAATTAAAGCTGCCTTAGCGAATCTGCAAACAAGCTAGGTTTTTAATGCAAATGCAGTCATGGAACACTCACCCCTCCACTTGGGTATCTTCCCTGAATCCGCGTCCATTGGAAGCAGACACCCACATTGCCAGAGAAAACGAGATGGCGCTTAACACCAGTTGCCGTTTTCTAGGTCATGACATCTTTTTTTGTCATTGATTTCTAATGGTGTTTTTCTTTTTGGGACTTTTTGGTAGTTTGTCCTAAAGTTGAAGTGGTAGCAGCCGGCTGTTTCTCCTCTGAAATTATCGAGTGGAGAACCACTTACAGCAGTGGTATTCTGTCTAAATACGTGAGTGTGTTATGATTGGAGAACCCAAAGATATGTGGCGGTTCAGCGAGACAACAAAACCAGATGGTCCAATAGCTGGTTTTGGGCTGAGCCATGTTATTGGCAGAGGGTTTTAGAGAAATGCGAGAGAACCACATTTTAAATTTTTTTTATCTCCACAATATCTTTTTAGCTATACTGTGTTAGAACATTGTTAAGAGGCATGAAAATAATGTTTTAAAGACATACTATGCAACTTTTTCATATTTTAAAGTAATTTTCTGGAGCCAGAATGTGCTAAAATGACTCGTTACACCGCCCCTGTGGCCAGAATATTGTACTTGCAACTTTAGAGTGCAGGTCCGGTCCCTGTTGGACATGCCTGGTGCTGGAGTCTGCCTCCAGCATGTTTTAGATCGTGAACACAGCTGATTCGTTGGCTTTAGTGATGAACCGCTCCTCTAGAAACTTATGAAGGCTGAGGAGACATTTCAGCTGTTAGATTAAGGTGTTAAAAAGACAAACGAACAGCAAGGAGATCCATTTTACTTTGGTTTTTACTAATGGACACTAGGGGGTGCTAAAAGCAAACCAAAACTGCCTAGTGTCCCTTTAAGCTAATTTGTTATCCAAATTTGCCATCGCAACTTTAAAACCACAAACCTTAGAAACCTGATGCTGAATGATGCGGTTCTAAATTCTCCAAATCTTTAAATGTCTGCTTTTTTCACACTCTTTTCTCTTGCTTGATGTTTTGACATTTGTCTCAACTCAGACGTACATCATAATGATCTGAACACTGCATTTGCTCATTACTCCTCAGAATAATCACAGGTCTTTCTTGACTTGTAAATTTTCCTTTATAGTTCTTCTCTAAGAAGTAAAATGAAGATAATATTTGTCCTTGGACATTTAAATAAACAACCCATCTCTTTCTATGCAGGTGGAAAATACTAAACCTGAGTTAATTTGATTTGATGTAACTGGCTGTGTTCTTGTTTTAAACTGAAAATATTTTAGGAAAAACACAACGTACCATGTATCAAGCATACACATTTTAACTTTTATGAAAGTGATGTAATTAGCTGACATCTCTGATTGTAAACCCAAAAAAGCATTTTGTACTGAGCATTAATACATTTTTGTATTTACATCTATAGATTGTTTTAATTCAATTCAGATATATTCTATTTATAACATTAGAAATTAATAAAATCATTTAGAATAAACAGTTGTTTGGGTTTTGATTTTCAATAATTGTTATTTATCAAAATAAAAAAAGACAAGTCCACATAGTTCCAGTTTTCATCGGGGGGGGGGGGGGGGGGGGGGGGGGGACCAAAATGCTTTAAACATGAGTGAAACTTGTAGAAAACTCCTGAACTGTGCTAGTGCTTTGTGTGTACTTAGAGCATTGTTCATGAACTCAATAAATGACAATTGTACAAAACAAAAGGAAGCTAGAGGAATACCCGTTGTGTATTTTTGTTCAGTCAAGCTTTGCTTTTGTTGATTCACTCAATAAGAACACAGGTGTTCCATTGTGTCACAGTAGGCAGTACTTTTAAAAAGCTTGTAACTTGTATAGAGCACCAGATAAATATATATAATAATTAATATCATTGGTAGTTTATAGAAACTGCCTGAGGAGCAGTGGGCTGCCATTTGTCCAGCGCTCGGGGGATAAACTTTAGGATATCTTTCAGGATACTTCGACATGTGTACAGCTGGGGCCTAGGACGGAACCGCTCACCTTCCAATCAGTGGAAAACCGCTTTCCCCATTCACTGACTCAAGATGAAACAAAACATTTGGGATGATTTATAACGCTTGTGTGGAGGAAAGATATTTTTATACCCATCCATCCATTTTCTTCCGCTTATCCGGAGTCGGGTCGCGGGGGCAGCAGCCTAAGTCAAGAGACCCAGACTTCCCTCTCCCCAACCACTTGGGGCAGCTCTTCTGGGGAATCCCAAGGCGTTCCCTGGCCAGGTAAGAGACATAGTCCCTCCAACCATAGTCCCTCCAACGAGTCCTGGGTCTCACTTTAGGCCTCCTCTCGGTTGGACGTGCCCAGAAAACCCCACCAGGGAGGCGTCCCGAGACACCTAAACTGGCTCCTCTCTCCTCTGTATTTTTATACAACCCCTTCAGTAAAAACAATCATGCAAGCCTACAGTATGTAAATAATTTATTTCTGTCTTTGACAAATTAAAGCATATATTTGAATTCTTACCTGAAATGATCAGAATAAAAATGTTTTCATTTTGTTTTGAGTTCAGAAAATTCACGTTTTCTTTTGACACAGTCAGACTTCATTTCCAGCTCTAAATGTTTCATGTGTGCATTTCGTGACTGACTTCATTTTGTTTTGATTAAATCAATCTAAATGCTAAACTGGTGCTGAGGTGGCTTTTGTAATGACCCCATTCTGACTGCAGAGGGCAGAAACAACAAGATAAAGTCTAAAAGGGCTCATTTCTGCTGCTTCAGCAGGTCACGAGAAAGCAAAGTTTCAGGGGAAATGTCGTGATCAAACATCACATCACAGCTTCCTCCTGATACTGCAGGTTTGAAATGGGAGGCAACCTGTGGGTGTTAAACGAACTCCAGGTTTTACCAGGATGCTTACCACTGAAGGTTGGAGGTCCATACACAAAAATGAGACTGGGTCCTGTTTTATCCGCCGCGTTTTTCTTTCTTTTGTGGTTTGTTTAAAGTTTCTATCAGAACTTGGACAGACTTCATCAAGCAATTGTATTTGCAGAGCAATATATGTCTAGTGATTTGAAATAGATTCATATTTTATTACACAAATTAAAGCTGATCCAGCAACAGGAGACGTTTCTTATAACTTTTCTAACATCAGAGGTTCTGAGAGAGGATGGAAATTAGGAATCTAAAATTCTAGATTAATGAGGTTTTATGTTAGGATTTAGACCATTTAGAAAATGGAAACGAAATATAAACAAGGGCAAAAATGCAATGTTAGTCCTATAAATGACTTTGTTTACATTGTCTGCCAGTCTGGTTCATTTACTCGCAGACACCCAATCATTGCTCTTCAGCCTGCCTCTCTGCTAATACTGGGTTATTTTTACACTATCGTCTAACTAGAGCAAAAGAAAGGTTTAAAGTTAAATCTAAAGCTCTAAATGCAGTTTGAAAGTGCATCAAGTTTTATTAGATTTTATGGCTTCGTAGACAGTAAGAAGGTGATGAACCAGTGTGTATGCTGTAACAAGCAGCATTCTTGGTCAGATTTCAGGGAGGGATGGTGTTCAAATAAAAAATAGTTGCTTGTCCTCCTTTTTTTTTTTTTTTTTTTTTTTAATCAATGAGAAGGGGATTCCCAAAGGTTTGTATGCTCCTAGGGTGGAGAGAAGTTAGGGGAATGGAAGGGTAGCACATTCCTTTCTGATGGCATAGACTTCCCATCAGTGGAGTTGGAGCTAATTGGAAAATGGCCCCTCATTTTTCCAAAACTGAGATGAAAGAAGAGAATTCTTGCAACCAGAGCAAAGAGACTTGCTGCAGAATGCTGCTGCCTGGATCAGCTTTGACCTATACGAGGAAATGAAACACGGGACAGACTGGGGTTCTGAAAGAAGCTGATTTGTGTGTGGGAAAGAGGGCACATTCACCGTGTTCACTAGATCTAATGCAAGTATGATGGAGGATTACTTTAGCCCTCTGTGGCTTACCCTTCAGGTGACTCTAATAGGCGTTCATTAGAAACCATTCGTTAAAGTTAGAGGCAACAACAGCGGCGCCCATAAAGCAAACGAGAGGCTCTGTGGTGTGAATGGTTGCCAGACATTCCTGTGCAATCACACACACACACACACACACACACACACACACACACACACACACACACACACACACACACACACACACACACAGAGCATGTGTCTCTTGCACCGTAGTTATTGTTCTGTTGTACCTTTGGTTACTCAGGGAGGGCAATGAGGCATTTGGGTGCAGTAGGATGTATTTCAGCTGGATCTGACTTATCCAAAGTGCTGCCCAGCAGGAGCCATTTATTGCCCTCAGGGTGATTTTGTGTTACCGCCAGTTAGATTTCTGGCTCTTTGTCCTGTAGGTCGTTATTGTAGATTGACTATTTCAACATTTATATCTTTCAGTCTTACTAAATTGACCCTATTTTTGACAAGTACAATTAAAAGTTAAAAAAGAAAAATAATGGTAAGCTTTACATTTTTCAAGTAAAAAGAAAATCCTTTTATTGTGGTCCTCTGGGACTGGTGTATTGTGTAATATACACATCGATTTATATATATATCAGTTATTGGCCATAACAGATACATGTTTATCAGATATCGGTATCGGCTATTATTATAGCCTCCCTCCTCTAAAACTTTTCTAGGGTCAGTTAAAATGCTGCTGATATGTGGAAAATGGTTGTTTTCTAAAGTGCCACCCTTATTGTTCAGATTATTTTAGATTACTTAAGCTCTAAAGACTTGTGTCATTTGTAAAACAGCTCTGTGTATAAAAGAGTTATTTGATGCAATAATAATTTCCCTCAAACTCATGAAAATCCTCATGTGTTCTGAAATAGTCCCTCAATATTGCTCTCTGGCAAAACTCTAAATGTTTGTAATAAGCTTCACAAGAATAAAGGTACCAGTGTATGTTTTATGCTTTTATTCTGAAGGATAATATTAAGTTCTTTAAGTTCCGCTGTGAAAACTATTGTGAAATTGAACATCGCTCTAGCAAATCCTCTTTTAACTTTGTAGTTTTGTATTTACCAGCCAGACTTTTTATTTAATTTACTCACACAACACATTGGTTTACACAATTACAGCTTCACAAAAGGCACCATTCTGTAAAATGTTCCCCAGAAACCAAAGATGGCTCACACAACTCAGAATACAGTCAACAAATACATAAGCCACCCTCCCAATGACCCACCCAAATAATCAACAATACCACTGAACCTCTAAACATTTTCCCACCAGCAAGCACACATCACGTCTCAGCTTCCACCTTCATCATAAACAAAACCAAGAATGTGGGCAATCAGCATAACTACAGTATGAAACAGAAAATCTGTAAAATATGAAGGCATCAACCCATGCGGTCAATCATGCATAATGTGGTAACTGTTAATATTTAAGATGCTTTATGAATATATGAAGAGAAATTTCAGTCTCATTCCACATCTCAGCACCCTTACATGCTACACTAAGGCTAGTACTCGTCACTTAACATTTTTTTCCTCTTTCAGATAATTTTTCCTTAGATTTTTCTTGTTATGGGTAGAATAAGTTACTTGGATAAGATGACATAGTCTAGAATTTCATCTATAAACTACATAATAGAAGCATTTTGGAACTTATTGCACTCTGCTGGCTTCAGAATCTTAAACCTATAGAAAAGAGGATTATACTGCATTTTGCCCGTGATATGGTACATATAACGTTCTTCTATATTGATTGTAATTTTTCTAGATAAGTAGGGAACGTGTTACATGAAATTCCATTACAATATGTTAAATGTGGTTCAAAATGAGTGAATATAGAGTAATGAGCAGGGGCGGATTTAGGACTGAAGAAGATCCGGGGCTTAACACACTCACGCACGCACGCGAGCGTACACGCGCGCACATACGTGACACGCACTAGTCAACATCATAAATGTCTCGTACCACATAATTTTTTATCTGAAGCTACATATTAAGCATTTTCAGGGCAGAGTATTGTTCCTGTTAGTGTTTAGTGTGAGAAGATAGTAAATATTCTGTTTCTTTCTCCAACCACTTTACCTAATAGTAAGCTAACTTTAGGCAAACCAGCAGCACAACAAATATTTTCCAATAAGACTCACAAACCTGAGTCAACACCAGTCTCATCAAAGCTGGGGTTCTGTCGTTGTACTTTTTGTCTAAAAAACATCCTTATGTCCATCTTCACTCATGCGTTTCAGGCAGAGAGTGTAGAAGAAGCCGGCTGCTGAAGGGCTTCTTCTTCAGTGGTGGAGGCTCATGCAGGCTGTATACAAACTACTGCCAGCTGCTCCCTCTCTGTTGGACTTTGTTACTGCATGTTACTTCTGCGATTTAGATCCGGGGCTTTTAATGAAACATCCGGGGCTTCAGCCCAAGTAGCTGGGCCTAACGCCGCCCCTGGTAATGAGAGCTTCTGTAGTTATGTCATATGTATTTAAACAATTTATTAGCAAGGAACTCAATATGTTTTTT